GTGTGAGTGTGTGTGTGTGTGTGTGTGTGTGTGATTTTACTTATCTTGATCATTGGCTATCTCCCTCTGCCTTCCATCACTTCCTTGAGAAAAGTGTGTGTGTGTGTGAGTGTGTGTGTGAGTGTGTGTGAGTGAGTGTGTGTGTGAGTGTGTGTGTGAGTGTGTGTGTGTGTGAGTGTGAGTGTGTGTGTGTGTGTGTGAGAGTGTGTGTGTGTGTGTGTGTGTGTGTGATTTTACTTATCTTGATCATTGGCTATCTCCCTCTGCCTTCCATCACTTCCTTGAGAAAAGATGGTTTATCACTACGTACCACTCCTGTCTAGAACACGGACTATCTATGGCCTGTGCATCATGCTGGGTACTCAGTACATATGGTGACTAAATGGCTAAGCCTACCATGTGCCTGGCATAGATGAGACACTGGGGTAGATACGAAGCTAAAGAGACTTAACATCTGTCCTCTAGGAATTCAATAAAGTGAAAGGGACTGACATATAATAATGAGACCGGTACCATGAAAGGCCTGTGGGCCTAGAAGGTGACTAGCATTGCATAAGCACATACATGTGACAGCAGGAAGGGGAGAAGGGTGATCAGCAGAGGCCTTTAGTGGGAGTGATTTCCAGAAGGCCCTCTCATCCATAAGCAAGGATTTTCCAGGAGAGAGGAGGAAACAGCACATCTCAAAGGATGAAACGTTCCCCAGGAACAGAGAAAAGTCCTGTGCGGTTTTAGGGTCTGGGACACGCAAAGAAAGGAAAGACATGATACTGAACAGGGAGGCTGACATTTAGCCATTTAAAGAGGGGGCAGCAGGAGTAAGTGGGGTGAAATTCCAGCTCCGAGTCACTGTCAGTAAATGTGTCCTCTCTCGGAAGGGGCCAGCTTGGCAGTACGGTAGCCATTATCCGTGCTTCACGTTTCTGGTCCATAGGTAAGAAAGAGGATTGCAAGGCTCATGTTTTAAAAACGAGAGAAGTGTGCCCTCCTGCACGAGAAAGGAGTGCCATACATCCGAGCTGAGAAGAAACTATCTCCTCTACCTGCCCCACCCCCATCCCAGTCAGCTAGACACTGAGAATCCAAACCTGACTGTCTAGACCAGGGGTCGGCAAACTGCGGCTCGCGA